CCCTTTGCTCATTCCATTTACATCGAACATGGCTAGCGCCGTAAATTAGACGATACATACAGTGAATTATTCGTGATTGATTTAGTTAAAATTTGATAAATACTATAATTAATGAATTTAATTCGAATTCTTAACAAGTCAAAATGGACTATTTGATATTTAATTCAAAAAATTTTAAACAGCTTCAAAATATAATATATTAAGATTTTATTTTTTAAAAATAAATTATTAATAATATTAATATTTATGTGTTATTTTAAAAAAAATGTATTATAAATTTTTTTTTATGTATTTAAGTTTTATGTTTAAATTTGAAACTTTAGTTAAGTTAAGTTTAATTTAAGATTTTTCTTTTCTTTTGGAGTTTTTACGAGCTCCGGTGTATTATTTTGAGTTTGAGTCGAGTTTAAAAATTTTATGCTTGCGAGGTTTTAAGTCGAGTCGAGCTCTATTTTAGAGTTTCGAATTGAGCTCAACAGTATTTTAACTTGACTCAACTCGTTTACAACCCTAAACATGATGATGTTTGATCGGTTCTTCATTTAATTTACCCCTGAAATTTTATTTTATTTTATTTTCATTTTAGTATCTAAATTTACTTCTATTCATTTTGACTTTGAATTTTCTTTTCGTGAAACACACTATTTTACTTATATTTGTGTTTATAAAAAAGTGATATTCTTGAAACTTATCACATGAGGCACCAAAACTATAATAAAATATAATTTTAGTATATGAAAGTATTAATTAATTCAAAATGATTTATAAAACATTTAATATAATAATTAAATCTATCGACTTTCAACTTCAAAGGAGTACGCTTTGTAAGAAGGGGTGCAAATGGTATGGCACGTGGGCTGGCCCAATGATCTTTAATTTATATTTTTTCTATCCGTTTTAGTACATAGACTTTCTATTTTTTAAAACGATGTCTAATGTTTAGTTTTTAGACTTCTTATTTTTTTTTAAATACCTAAAATTTAATTTTTATTTTATTTTAGTACTCCACCATTAAAAGTTTTATGCGTTTAGTACATAAATTATCAATTTTGGTCTATTTTAGTACTCAAACTTTCAAAGAAAATTCAAAACTTAATGTTAAATTTTGAACTTGGGTACTAAAATGAAACAAAAATTAAAATTTAGGTATGATCTTAAAAATTGAAAGTTTAAGTACTAAAATTGACAACTGATAGTTTAGGTATTAAACTTGTAATTTACCCTATTTTGGCCCATTTTAGTACTTAAACTTTCATTTTTTTTTTCAAAATCATACATAACATTTAGTTTTTGCTTCATTTTAGTATGTTTCATTAAAAACTTAACACGTTTTGTACTTAAACTATCAGTTTTAGTATGTTCTAGTACCTAAATTTTAACTTTTTTCAAAATTTAACGTTGAATTTTTGGACGGCGTACTAAAGTAGAACAAAATTAAACTTTAAATACTAAAACGGACTCAAACTGATAGTTTAGGTACTAAACGTGTAATTTACTCATATTTTTGTTAGGGTTTTATTCCTAGTATTGGTTTATCTTATTTATTATATTTGCTGTAACATTTAAATGAAATCAGCTGATCAAGAGATTGTTATGAAGCCTATTATCATGAGATTATTATGCCTAAGGGTGTTATTAATGATATTGAAAAATTGTGCATGTGGTTCTTTTGGAAGGGTTGTGATATCCCAGCTCATGGTGCTCGAGTGAGCTGGAACCAGGTTTGTGCTTTAAAGTCTGAGGGTGGTTTGGGTTTAAGGAAGCTAATAGATTGGAGTAAATCTTGTTGTCTTATGCTTGTCAAAAACATTCTGGCAGATGAGGGTTCTCTGTGGATAGCATGGATAAACTGTTTTAAATCTGTGGACTATTGGAATGTTGATTCAAAGCCTCATTTCAGTTGGATTCTGATTAAGCTGGTTAAGTTGAGGGATGAGGCTAGGAGGCTGTTTAGCCCGGTTCCTATCTGGTCACAGATCAAAGGCGGCTGGATTTGGGATAGCATTCGTACAAAGTTTCCATCTCATATTCCTAATTCTCTTATTATTGCATGGATAGGATATTGGCATTGATAATATTTGCGGACTGTGTTCTGGTAGTGTGGAATCTCGTAACCACCTGTTTTTTGAATGCTCGTTCGCAAGTGAGATTTGGAATGCTATTTTGTGAGATTGTGATCTTAATCCTCAGGCGTTAAGCATCTGGGATAAGGCCCTACGCTGGTTGATTTCGAATCTGAAGGGTAAGTGATACATGCACCACACGTCCTAAAGCTAAGGATGATGAATTTACTATACCACTTGGCCCTATCACACGAGGCCGGACAAAACTTCTTAAAGACAAGCTTCAAATCGCAGTTCAAGCATTCATCCGTAAGGGTCTAATAGCAGCAGATTTGCAACAACTTTTTGAAGGGGATCCAGTTGTTATCCGGTCGACATGTCTTCTAGATATACAACCTTCTATCTCTTATCTTTCCAACGGTTCTTGAATCGCATCATTCCGATATCGAGAACTCAAGATATGACCATTTTACTGAAGACGGTGCATGCAGGAAATCCTATACGGGATTAATACGTTATTTTGTAAATATTACGAATTTTCAATATTTATATTGATTATTTGTAATATAATTTAATATAGGATGATTAATTATCTTTTAGGATCAGAATTATTATTTTATTAGGAATTAAGGTTGGGTTAAAACAATATTTTTAGTTATTATTATTTTATTAGGAATTAGAGTTAAAACATGTTTAGTTTATTAATATTTTATTCTTTAGTTATTTAGGACCTTTAGAATTCAGCCCCTATATAAAGGAGGCTTCATTCAACTTTGTAAATAAGATTTCTTTGATTAATAATACAACGAGAGTTCGTTTTTGCAAGTGCTGATTGCCTTGTGCCTTCGAAGCTTCTTCTCCTTGAGTTCTTTCAAGTCCTTGTGAGGGAGATTAATCTTCACACTCCAATTTGCCTTTTCATCGCGACTAGGAGGGTTGGTTAGAGCCATATTATCATGTTTGCCTTTTCATTGCGACTAGGAGGGCTCGATAGGACATTATCCATCGATTTTCCACATATCCATCCACGTCATCAATCATCTTTATCGTTCACCTTCATAAGGGAGATCTTTTGATTTCTTGGTTATCTTATTTTATTTGCAATTCATTTATCTTTCTTTATCTTGTTTTAATCTTATTTTTATCTTGTTTCCAGCACCAAAAAGAAACCATATCTATTGCCGCCACCTTCCCGATTCATCTCTTATTGTTCTTCATCGAGTCTAGATCTTTTCTAGGTTTGATTCTTCAACAAGAGCAACGTTCATCAATCCGCCACCGCTTCCCTATCAGTAAGTCACTTCTTGTTCACATCCTTAAGTTGGCGTGGACTGGTTTTGTTTACTTTCTTTGGGAGGAACGTAATCACAGGTATTTTAGGGGCGTGATTCGTTCGACTGCGGTGGTTGTGAATAGGATTCGAGAGGCTGTTCGAATTAAATTGTATAATTGTTCCATGAATAGGGTAGATGATGTAAATAGGAGATTATGTTTAAATTGGGGACTGGTTTAGGCTATTTGCCTTGATTTTGTAGCAGCTTGTTGCTTCCTTTGGATATATAAAATTCTACTTATCCTTTTTTTTATTATTATTATCATGAGATCATTATTTTTCTAAAATACAGATTTATTAAATGTATAATGTTGTTTTTTTTTCTAAATTTCAAAACATATTATTAAATTTTTAATATGATATTATTACAATTTATCATCTTTATAAATAATTTGTATTACTTTCTAGTCTCTAGAACGTGAGACATGATAATTATATAAAGTTGAATCAATCCTTGATGCAGTGTTTGAAATGGTAAAAGCATAAGCTAGTGGTACCTTTTCAAAAAGTTTCTTATAGTGGATGGTGGCACTCAACAACAACAGGGTGTGTATATATATAATTCTAAAAATTTAATTAAAAATTATAGAGATATGAAATCATTATAATTATTCATAACTATATAAGGAATTCAAAGATTTTTCATTTTAAACTCAAACTCAATTTTATTTAATTCAAATTTTCTATATAAAAAAATCTAACCCTGTAGGATCGAATCAGATTACATGCTCATCCCTTAACTTGCCAAACTTTATTTCAATAATCATATGAAATCCATGTATTTGATAAATTTAATATGAAACTTGCACGGATCAAGTGACCTCATTAGTTAAAGGATTTATTATTATCTTTTTTGGTTTTAAGTTCGAGTACTGTGTATGCAGGAGTATGAACGTTCATTGTCAAATGATTGAGAGTATTTAAACATATATTACCTTATATTTATAATAAATTTATCAAAAGAAAGTTTAATACAAAACTTTGAGATTAAAACGATTCAAAATTTAAATAAAAATACATATTGAAAATTTTATTAATACGTGACGGTAGTTATTGGATCATTTTAAAGAATCCCAGTATTAATTTTGACCAAATCATTAAATTTTAAATTCAATTCAATTTGAACCCAAATTATTTTTTTAGTAAATTTATAACCTTTTTACTAAACCTAGGGAACGTTCAAGGACTATGGTTGTGATTTACCCATTTCCCTTACATTTCAGAGAAAATGGCATGGGGGAAAAACATTTATCGTGTGCGAGAAAACTCGATCACGGATACTCAACCTTGACCAACAAGTTAGTACACCTTGACCAACAAGTTAGTACACCTTGACCAACAAGTTTCACTATCGTTGAATGCACGAAGGCTATTGTACATGATTTATTGATAGAGTAACATTTTTTAATTATTCATTTATTATTATTTAAAAATTTCGAATACAAATATAATTATAATTACAAACAATATAGTTCATATTATTTATCATGACATTAAAACAAATATAAGCTTAAAACAAAACAAAATCTCCTAAAATCTTCGTGTAAAAGAGTTCAGAACATGGTCACGAGACGGTCGAAAAATATAAGTTTATTTATATAAGAAAACAAAGACCAAACAGCAAAATAATGAGATTTTAAAGCACAATCTCCCATGAAGGTTCAAGTGTGTAAGTATTTCCATCATTGGTGATCTTCCCCAGCCGTTTGAGCCTCGGTTTCGGTGCTCTCGGCTTCGTGATCGGACTCGCCTCCATCTCCGTCCGCAGTTTTCTTCATCGAAGTTGTTTTCGTGAGGTGAGTGTAACTGCCTTTCTCCTTGAACAACTGGGAGAAATGGTGCTTGCAGTAGAGGAAGCCATCTAATGCAGCATATGACGATGTCGTAAGAAAGCAGCCCCCATGAGCACACCTGAAGCAGTTCTTGTGATATATTTCTCCTTCCACGGTCACCTGCGATTAATTAATTTCTCCGATCACATCTTTGTATTCATGTATGAATTTAGGTCGAATAACTAAAAATAATAATCTAAACACCAGACCTTCTCCAATGGGTAGCAAGTTTTATTGCAGACTCCACATTTGTCTTGAGTGCCTGAGAACATGGCTGCAACTTTGCTTGGAGCCCTTTGCTGTAAAATAATATGTATATTTATACCCAACATGGTGAATAATACAAAGTTTTAACCAAGTTTCGAGTTTACCAGTCCATTTGGCTTAGGTTTATCTGAAAAATCATAAATAAATAAAAACATGGTTAGCCGTAATTATGTTTTTTTTTATTAATTTGGGTAAGTACAAGGTAATATATCTATTCATAGATAATTCTCAGCTGTTTGACATTGAGCGCTTACATCCCTGACATTCCTGGTGCTCGAACCCAATACCTCAAATAATAACAACAATTCCTTTCCCACCGAGGTCGTTTGGTTCGTGCTGGCCGTAATTATGTTAAATGCGAATATTTTTATTTATTTGATAATATGAATCTAACCTTTGGATGTATAAGTGCCGGTCGCCTTGCAGACCTGCTCAAAGTGAGGCTTGCAGTAAAGGACTCCATCCCTAGCACAATAGGTGCTCATCTGTTTAAAAACATAATGAACTGTGATCTCCATTGTCATACCAGATCAAACCACAAAGTTCATCGAATTATATATCTTCCTCAAATCATCATAATTCGTCGGTTTAATCATCGACATAAACGCACATACGTACCACGAGAAGTCCATTGCATTTAGTGCACCGGAAGCAAGTCTTGTGATAAGGGACTCCATCGGCGGATATCATATCGTAGAAATGAACTGTCTTATCACAGGACCTGCATTTCTCTGTTGTCCCACTGAATGCCATCTTCCTTCTCCGGTGAAAATCTTAGGCGCAGATGGCAAGAGAGTGAAAATGAATTTGAAGAAGAAACAGAAAAGGGTTTGTGGAAGACAACAGGGATGAGTTGATGGGGCTTCATCTCGAAGCATTGATATAGGGAAGCGATCCGACTCGGGGTCATGGCATGCAAACTTGCTTTAATTAGTAAGTGTTGAAAAAACAGGCAGAGTTTGGGGAAGAAGGATGAGTGGATGATATGAATCGACACCTGCTAAGGGTACGTAATCCAAGGTCCATCCCATATCTAACACACTAAGAATAGCACCTTGTTTCCATGGTTGTTTGCTGACCAAGTTAATATATATATAGGATAATTATTTCATGGGTAAACTATGCATTTAGTACCTAAACTATTAATTTTAGTCTATTTTAGTACCTAAACTTTCATTTTTTTTAAATCATGCCTTTCACTTAGTTTTTAATTCATTTTAGTATCTACCGTTAAAACTTAAAGCATTTAGTACCTAAAAACTATCATTTTTGGTCCATTTTAGTACCTAAACTTTCATTTTTTCCCCAAATTTAACGTTAAATTTTGAACGGGTACGAAAATGAAACCAAAACTAAAGTTTTTAAGGTACTAATTAAAATGAAATAAAAATTAAACTTTAAATATATAGTTTTGAAATATGAGAAGTTAGTATTAAAACAATTACGTATGTGTTTTTAATAAATAAGAAAGATTTTAAATAACTAACAACCAGTTGGTCTACTGAGATGAGACACTAGGTCCGTTAAGCAAGGTAAATGATTCGAATCTTGACGTTTGTGAATAGAGCTAACTGGAATGAGATAACTTTTTAAAAGACATTCATGTAAATTTGGTAAACAACAATTTTAGTAGGTCCATTATTTACAGCATTGGAAGCACCTATGAATTTGAACGTTCGGCTGTGAAACAACATATGTAGAATTGGAAGCACCTATAAATTAAACAATAACCGGATCCTTGTCACCAAGCAAAGAATGGTGAATCAAGCTCCAAATTTGGGAACTTTGGCAGCTGAGATCTGAGCTAAGAAATGCTCTGCCACGATCCTCCGCTGGATTTTTCCGGTGGCGGTTTTCAGCACTGAATCGATGATGAAAACCTTCTTTGAGACCTTGAAACTAGCTAGATTCTTCTTGCAAAATTGCAGGACTTTTTCCTCTTTCAAGCTTACTCCTTCCTTTGGAATCACTGCACAATTTATCTACACATTTGGAACAAACAAACACCACAGAGGAAGAAGACTGTGTTAGAGACAAAAGCATAACATCAATGATCAATCCAAAAAAAATCATATTTTTCCACAATGGGTTTCATTTGTTTAGATGGGAACGGTTCTTTTTGACATGAAAGGAGACGATTTCTTTACCTCTTCAGCGTATTCTTCATCATGAACACCAAAGGAAACTGCTTGTGGAAGATGGGGATGAGCCAGCAGCACTGCGTCTACCTAAATCGGTGAAATTTTCTCACCAAAATTCAATTCAAGTGAACAAACCGAACAAAAATTTGTGAAAGATTACGAGTTTTTCAGCATTAAATCGGTTAATGAGCTCTTTGATCCGACCTGCAGGATGCAGTATCCATTGGAATCGAAGAACCCGACATCGCTGGTGTGTAACAAACCAAATAGAAAAGATGTTTTATTAGCCTCGTGGTTGTTCTTATAACCCCTTGTCACGTTCAGTCCTCTGATGCAAACCTGACTTTAGCATCAGTCGGTTGAATCTATCCCCACTACAAGAAATTTCGATTTTTCGATTGTTTCAATAAAATTATTTATTACTAAAAGTATTAAATTTGTCACGATATATTTATTTTTATTATTTTATTTATTATCATGTTGTTAGAACAACATTATCATGTAAAGTATATTGTGACAAAATTGTGTTCGTTACCATTTTGTAATATTTATTGTAACAATGGTTTTTATCATCTGTATTAGTTAGGGTTGTTCATATCTAGGTAATCGCTTTTTCAAGTATTCAAGATTTTGGGTGTCAAAATTATATCTACATCTCAGCCAGTAATATGTGGGCACTCGTAAGTTGGGGACCCATAAAACCTAGGTATCCATATTTTTAGGTCATCAATACCCGATTAATATTTATTTAATTTATATTAACTTTCAGAAAAAAAAGATACCTAAGGCTCTTGTATTTTTTTAAATAATCAATTTGCCCATTAAATTACTGTTACATTCAATGTGACCCTCAAACTTAGAGAGAAACAATTAACATGACCCTTTAACCAATGATTTTTTATCGTTAACCATTATGAAACTATATAATAAAAAATATTAAAAATAATTATACAGCTAAGAAGAGTATTATAGTGAATATAACATGATAAACGGAAGTAAACTTTACCTAAACTTAATGTAAAAAATTTAATAGAAAATTTGCCCAACTTTGGTTAATATATGTTGTTCAATATTTACAGGGACCACCTTACGTGAAGGCTTAAGTTAACTTGTTCATTCCCAATTCAAATATATATATTTCAATTTTTTAACAATTTAATTTTCATTTTTAGCATTTTTATATTTTTTGTGTATTTTAAATTTTAAATTAAGAGTAATGATTTTTTAATAAATAAACAAACCCTTTAATTTTTTGATAATATATTTTATTATTTTATTTTATTTTAAAATGCCATTTAATTATATATATTATCACAAAAAATGATTTTTTTGAATATTTTTATGATAATAATATATTTTATCATTATAATTAAATATATAACTGAAAACATATTTTTTTTTATAAAAAAATGAATCTTTTATAATTAAAAAATATGAAATTTTTGTTGTGATAATTTTTCTATAATAATAACTATTACATATAGTTACAAAACCTGTTACTATATAATATTTTGCACCAAAAAATAAGAAGAATATTTATGATAGTATAAGTTTTTATAATGATTAAAATAAATAACTAAAAAAATAATTGATTACAAAAAAACTTAAATTTTATTATTTGATTTGATAATTTTTTTCTATAACAATTATAAATAACAAAACTTGTCAATATAAATTTTTGAAACAAAAAGTGGAGAAAAATAGTTATGACAATATATGTTATCACTATAATTAAAATTTATATAATTTTTCACAAAAGCGTGAATATCATTATTTTATGTGACAATATTTTTGTAATAATTATTAACATCTATAGTTACAAAATTTATCTCTATATGACTTTTTTTGCACCAAAAAATATGAACATAATCTTTATGACAATATATTTTTCACTAAAATATATAACTACAAACATTTTTTCACTAAAAACTTGAATCTCATTATTTGTTGTGGCAACCTTTTGTTTAACAATAATATAGCTTATAATTACAAAACGTGTCACTATAATTTTACTTTTTACGAAAAATTAGAGATAATCATTTGTGACAATATTTTATCACTATAACTTAAAATATAATTAAAAATAAATTTATCACAACAAATCTAAATCTCATTATTTTTAAATAAATTTTTAGTCATAGTCACTAAAACTTTTAGTTACGAAACTTGTCGGTATATGACTTTAATTGGAGGGAAACATTTGTGACAAAAAAATTATAATGAAATTTATTTGTCACCATATGTTACACATGTTTGCTAATTGTGAAAAATTATTGAGACAATTTTAATTTTTGTCATAATTATATATATGTATTTTTAATTTAATACGACGGTTATTTATTTTGTCACTAAAATATTATTAATAGTGATAAAATTAATTTTATCACGATAATAGAAAATTTCTTGTGGTGCATGTTTCATTTCTTAACTCAAAAGAGCAGTTAATAAGAATGGTTTACAAGTTTATCTGGAATTAAGTTTTCTTCCTATTTACTACTAGTCGATATTTAACATGAAAAAGTCAAGAAAGTTTCCGTATCTCTTAGGTATTGAGGATAAACATCCAACATATTTTCAGACTTTTCTTTTACGAATATACATCCTATCCTAATTATATATGATTGTTTGTTTCTTCTTCTTCTTCTTCTTCTTTTAACATGGTGATGTAAAAAGTATGCATGCAAAAAACGCTAGCCGACAACCGTCCGTATGCGTGGCCGGTTCGCGCGTGACGATGAAACTACCGAGAGTCCGAGAGCTGCATGTTCAACCAGGGATGAACACCTCTGAGAATCATGGGTACTACTATTTTGCTTCATTTCTCATCTAAATAATGAATTATTCAAATCTATACTTCAAATAAGTTTCAGGGTAACTTACGAGTTTAATATCTAAACTGTCAATTTTAATATGTTTTAATACCTAAATTTTTAATTTTTTCTAAATCATACCTAGTGTTTAATTTTTGTTTCATTTTAGTATACCGCCGTTCAAAACTTAATTTACCTGCATTTTTTATTGAAAAATTATATTATTTATCACTCAATTATCTTTTCACTCCTATTTTTGTACTGAAATTCAAAAAAAATCAATTTAACTACTCAACTTTTGCTCCTATTTTAATCAATCTATTTCATTTATTAATATATTTTGTGACAGTTTTTTATTATTAATTATTTGATATATATATAATAAATAAATAAATTTGAAAGTTAGAGTGATTGAATTAAGAGTAATTTAAAAATTGAGTAATTAAATTTAAAAAATAGTAACCAAAATAGGTGTGAGAATATAGATAAGTGATGAATGATGCAATTTACCATAAAAAATATGTCACTTGCAAACCACCCGATAAATTTTTAATAGATATCAAAACAAAATAAAAACTAAATATTAAGTATAATTTTAAAAAAAATGAAAGTTTTAAGTATTAAGAAAAATCAAAATCGATAGTTTACATATACTAAATGCGTAACTAACCCAAAGTTTAAAGTAGAATTCATTTAATAAATAATATATATATAATTAGATGAGAAGACTTGATTTATTGTCTTGTGTTTAGTGTAACACCCCAAACCGATGCGGTTAGCCCGATCCGATTCGGGAAGTCACATTAGGGTCACCGGAGCGACCCACCGTAAAAATAGCGGAAATTTTAAAACTTTTTATCAGAACATGTAAACTTAAAAATT